GTTCAGGAAGTGTGTTTAGATAGCCGTTTTAGAGTTATTAAGAGAAGTGTAGAAAAAGAGGCCAAGTGGCCGTTTCTTGGTGGTTTTAAAAGTTTTTAATTTGGTATTTTAGTATTATATGTATTTTTTAGTTAGGAATAAGTTTATTTAGTAGCAAAACTAAGGTTGACTTAGTAGAAAATAAAGTTATAAGGTATTTTGAAATAATTAAGCTGGGAAAATTTGTGTACGAGTGATAGACGAAAGAGTTTCTGTCTAATATCCCAATGTTTATATTAGAACAATATAGATAAACAAAAAGTATATTATTTTATATCTGATATCTATCTTTTATATTGCTCTAATACTGATATCTGTTATTCTACCAATATTATACTTTTTAAATTAGCCCGATATTCATATTAGTATAATAATAGGATTATATAGGTATATCCCGATAGTCATACATTTGACCTGTGTATATATTATTTGATTGTTTACTTATAAATTCCAAATTAAATTTCAACTTACAATATACTACAAGTATCTACAAATTTATTGATATATGACTATTTGGTTTATTTTTTTAGATTTTTTTTATTTTTATTTTTATTAGATTTTTTTATTTTACTTTTTTTTGGGGTTTCTTTTATTTTACTTTTTTTGAGGGTTTCTTTATTTATTTATTTTTTTGATTTGGATTTGCTTATATCTACTACTATATTTTTTTACCTTACACCTAACTTCTTTTATCATTACCTATTATTTATATTTTTTCTTCTTACACCTAATCTCTCTCCTTTATCTTCGATTTCCAATTTTTATTACTACAAGACTACAACAATATTTGTGCAAAACTTATTTAAATTAAAGTAAAAGTTTGATCATTAACCAATCAAATTTATTTATATTATTTGAAATATGCTATATTACATTATTAATCATTATACATCTGTTATAAGTTTGTATTATTATATTATATCAATTCTAGACTAATTAATCTAATTAATACTAATTAACTAGTGATAATTACAAACTTATATATAATGTGTAAAGATCCAATATTATACATAATTTTGCTAAGCCAATTTTGCAAGTTTTTCATTTAATATGACTGGCAAGTTTTTTGAATTAAGATTATATATTTTATATAAATTATATAATTGTGTTAATAGTTTATTTAAGCATACATAACTCTTTTTGTCACTTTCCAATTATACTTTAACTTTTTCAAGTTTATAAAGCTAGTTACATTCAATTTATAAAAAAGCTTTAATTTTTATTGATTTAGAAAAAAATTGAAATTATACTATACTATTAATATAGGGGTTGTTAAAATCTTTAAATTCTTTTAGTAAATTATACTTTTTCAAATTTGTTTTTAATTTGTTTCATATTCAATCTTATTAAAAAATTAATACTTGGAAAAACTTATTATATAATTGATAAATATAAAGTATAAAATAGATAAATAATTAGAAATTAATATTTTATATTAAGAATATTTATCTCATAGCACTCTATTTATTATTTTTTTTAAAAAAAACTTCAGATTTTTATCTAGACTAATTTTTATTATTAATTTAATTTCAAAATGATTAAATCAGCATATATCAGTATATAAAAATCTTAAATTTTGTATGGTTATATGGTATGATCGACATAACCTAGCACAGAAAACTGAAATGCATTTTTATGCATAATATTTCGTAATAGCTTTCAAAATATTTCAAAATTTCTTATATAATATTATGAAATTTACTTATTTTGCAATATTTTGAAATTATTTACATCAGGAAATTTTTAAATAGAGTGCATATTGATTACTATCTGCAGGGTAATTGGCATCAATTTATATTAATAATAATTGATTGTTATTATTCAGACCTAAATGATTGCAATTGATTGGCATTGATTTATATTGATTACAATCATTTAGGTTTGAATAATTACAATTGATTATTATTGATATAAATTGATGCCACATAATATTATAGTTTTTTACGATCTGTAAATTATTTTGAAATACTATTCTCTTTTAAATTTGCTGACATATTTAACCTAGTTGAATTGTTTCTTGGTTAAAAAAAAGTTTATTAAGTACAAAATGTATAAAAATTAATATATATATACATTTAAAGAACACTATCATTATAACACAAAGTTATTTTGACCTTTAATTATAAAACTTTTCAAAATTTTGGCCCTTATATGTAATTATTTTCACTTTGGGCCCTTATTTTATTTTATTTCATTTTTCAGGCCCTTAGATGTAATTTTCCCAAAAAATTAATATGAAAAAAAATCAAATATGAGAAAAAATTATATATAAAAAAAAATTAAAAAAAAGAAAAAATTAAATACAGAAAAAATTTGTATATGAAATTTAAATATATAGTGATTTATTTCATATAATAAGGTGTTTTATAATTAAAATAATAAGCATATTTCGAAAATTAAAAAATCTTATTTGTATATCAAAATTTTGAAATCGGAAAATGAAATGGAAGTGTTTAGAGATTCCCATTTGATGAAATAAAGTAGCAATTTTTTTGTTATACAGATCAACAAACTATTTAATTACAAAATACAGAGTAATAATAGAACTTTTCATTTAGATTAATTACTGAACTTTAGCTCAAATTACTTACTGAACCTTCACTCAAATTACTTATTAAATCTTCACTCAAATTACTTATTAAACCTTCGCTCAAATTACTTAATAAACCTTTGTTCAAGTTATTTTTTTATAACTTACTGAACATTCGCTCAAATTATTTACTGAACCTTCGCTCAAATTACTTACTAACCTTCACTTGAGGTATTTTTTTATATAACTTACTAAACATTTGCTCAAATTATTTTTTTATATTATTGAACTTTTGCTTAAATTATATTTTAAATAACTTATTAAACTTTCGCTTAAATTTTTTTTTTTATATAACTTGAAAAAAATTGGTAGATTTAATTGTTCTTTCACGTATAGTAAGATATGATCCAGTTCTATGGCTTGTATTAATTTGAATAGTTTGTCAGTTTCTTTATATTTGTGCTAGTTGAGTATTCATTCGTAAGTGTCTTTAAAAGATTATTTATTTGTTTAATTTGATGTTGTCGATGTGAAATTTTAGTCATGATAAGCATAGAACGGTATTTCGAATTTTAATTAATTAAAAAAAAATAGGATTTGTACGTACATCACTTATTTCAAAATAAACACGTCATCTTATTTTATCAAAATAAGATTTACGAAGTTTAAATTTTAATAGGGGTGGTTAAAAATAGTTAAAAAAACTTTTATTTATGTCTATATAAAATAATTTAATTTACTTTGGTAACTTCTCAAGAGTAATCAGCGTTCGATATACAAAGTAAACCCTTCCCCAAACCCTAGTATAAACTTTAAGACCTCATTCTAGCTTGAATATTTAATAATTTAAGAATTTTTGTTAATTTATATATTTCTATTATATGTAGAAATATATATAAATAGCTATATAAATCTACACTGGACTTATAAAGTTTTTATAAAACTACATAAAAATTTTACATAATTCTATATAAATATTCTTCATAATTCTACATAAAAACAAATTCGGGATTATAAAGAGAAAAATTACAATAGGGGATGAGAAACACCTAGCATTATTTTTCACATAGATGGTATATTTGCATTCGCTGCATTGAGAAGTTCGGTCTTTTTTTCAACTGCTTGTATTGTTTGCTTTTGAAGATCGGATAATTCTTTACGAGAAATAAAACATTCTAAAATGTCATGGATAGATCTAGTTTCAGGGCGATTTTCGGGATCCTCACTCCAACATCGCTTATAAAGTGCAACATAATCTTTAGGTGTGTCTTCTTCAGGAGTCTCTCTCTTTCCTTCATATATATGAATAAAAATTATTGCTTGAGATTTTAATGTCTGGAATGGATGTCGACCACTTGTAATCTCCCAAAATATGAAGCCTAAACTATAAATGTCGGATTTTTTATTACGTTTATATGAATCATCCTTAAAACATTGTGGATCGATGTATGCAGGTTGCCCATGAACAATAGATCTTGAGCCCGAAGTTTTATCTAACCGTTTAGACAAGCCAAAATCGGATATCATCATTTTTCCTTTATGAACCAAAATATTTTTGGAATGCTATACAATATTATAAATGTATGTGAAATTATCGGATAATTGTCAAATAATTACATAGAGCATATTTGTACTTACAAGATCAAGATGAATTATATTATTAGTATGCAAAAATAGAAGGCCTAATGTTATTTCTCCAGCAATACGTAGCTTATCATCCCAATTAAGTTTGGAAAAGTTTGTTGCTAAGTAATTTCGTAAATCGCCACCTTCGGCAAATTGTAAAATCACTTTATAATTCTCTGTCGGATCTATTTGTTAAAATAATTGAGTTTAAATTGTTTTAGGTTTGTTAAGCAAAATAACATACATACGTTTAGTTACACCATAAAATTGAATGATATTCGGGTGAAAGCCAATTTTTTGTAACATCCGAAGCTGTGTATGTAATGAATTTATTTACAACTATATTAAATTTTACATCTTAAATTATTTTTAGATAACACAGTACTGTACCTCTTTAACAAACTCCTGATTAGTCTTGTCTTTCTCATCAGCATCCTGAGCATCATCATCCATCTCTAAATTTTTTAGACCTTTAAGAGCAACTGTTAATTTACATTCTTCCCATACGCATTTGTGCACAATTCCAAAACCACCTCTACCAATTTCTTTCATATCAGTAAATTTATTGTAGTCAAATTCGTTAATATACTCATCAGAAATAGCTTTTTCTAGCCATCCCTCCCATCCTTCTTTTAATGAAGTATTTTTAAGTTGTTCTTCTTTATAAGAAATATTTTTAAGTAGTTCTTCTTTTAAAGAAATATTTGCAATTGGTTCTTTTAAAGAAATATTTTTCAGTGGTTCTTCCAAAGTGCTTGCCATAGTTTTTTATTAAAGTATATATATTTGTATGTCTACGAGTTTGTAAATCATGCGGTTTAATATGTTCTTATTGTTTTTGTAGCACGTTACACAAATCTTAGTTCATATAACTAAACATAAATGCTATTAAAACATCGAAAGTAAAAATTTCCTATCTTGTTAATGTTAATAAATAGTCCACTATGCATTTTGAATTTCTATTGTAATATATCATATTTCTTTGGATTGTAAATCCACTTCTCGGAGCATTAATTATAATTTCAAGTGTCCAACATCACGTGTGAGTATAATTTACATTTAGCGTTAGTATCGGAAAATGGTTACACAACTAATAAATTTTTTTTATATGGGGTGCCTCATATTAAAAGGGCCCATTTTGCAATATAAACAATTTGGAAATAATTAGCATGACCGAAATCCTATATGCATGAATGTTACACACGATTTTTATATATTAAAATCATATAGAGAAATATATGTCATAAGGTAACACACGAAGGACAGCCAGGTTTTCTATGAAACTTCACTAGTTTATTCTGTCGATATATTAATATAGTATAGGGACCGATCTTGGTAATCCGCATTCTGCTTAACCTTTACTATGCATATATTTTTTACTAGTTAATTGTTATAAAGTAACGTAATACACAAGTAACTTGGAATTCTATTACTTTTCGGCACTTTTAGCTTGTAAAATTTCAACAACCAGTTTACGAAGGTACCAAGCATTCATAAAAAAAGCATATTACATGCTACAATGAAGAAATTACGAACTAATTCAGATAAGAAAACCGGTTTAATAGTTATTTATTGATATTAATATTACCAAAAAATTATTTGACCAATTTTTGCCTCTAATTTAGACGAAATATCTGAAATCTCTTCTATTTCTTCCGAAGCTTCTTCCTCCTCCTCTTTTTCAGTTTTTTCATCATCATCAAAATCCTCTGGTGTAAGTGTATCTTCACCTTCGAGCCGTTCCAAAAACTTATTAACATTTTTAAAAATCCCTTTTTTATAGAATTCTTCACAATAAACGCACTTTCTATTATAACATGCCAAATGGTAACCATGGCCACAAATAAGAACCATCCCATCTTCTTCGCTAAATGGATGCTTACAACGATCACACATATTTGGTTGGGGCAAATATGACGTACTATAAGCAGTTGGTAAGCGTCGTAAATTCACGTCTTCTTCTAAAGTAGCAAGGTGATATATTTTTGGTTTTTGATTCTTCTTTTTTGTCTTTGGACCACTTTTTCCACGATTATAAAATAAATCTTGAAAGTATTTTAAGAGAAATAGGTTAGTTTTCTTATCCAAAAAGTCAAGTGCAGGTAAAGTATATGAATATCGCCGTGTCTTATGATAATTATCTTTAAATGCTAAATTATGGTTCACTATATAATTGACAAATAAAATATGTAAAAATTAAAACAAAATAATAATAACAAGGCTATACGAATTTAATATCTTGGTTTTCATAATATAAAATGTCTGGCTTTTTTTTAAAAAAACGTTTCTATAATTTAACTCATGAGGTTATGAAAACCAATAAATTAACTTTGCATTGCCTAATAATAAAGAAAAGCAACCAATTTACTAATAACATAGGCTTGTTTTATTATATTGTCAACTGTTGCATTTGGCGACGTATTTGCCCTAATTCGACTATGAGTGTTCTCTATGTAATATTCGTTAAAGTACGGCAAATGCATTCGAATTATATTAAAAAAAGGATGGTTGGTATCCTTCCAATAAAACACATCTGACAAAAAAGCCAAAGGTGCTTTATTGTAGTTCTTTCATTTCCAACGTAAAGTGAACGTCCAGATGCGAAAGACCGTCTCTATATATTCATTAAATAGACCTGATTTAAATAAATTTGCATAGATATCGAGTGTTGCCGGTACTATGTTATCAAGTAAATCAATCGTAGTTCGATACTCTAGGTCTTTACATGTTTTTCCGAATTTTTCTATAATTTTGTCCCGAATTTTTATTTAACCATTTTGAGTAAGTTCTAAGATAAGATTAATCCTCCATGGGCGAGGCCTTTTTGTAAGCTTTTTACCAGCCCCAAAAACAAAGTGAAATAATTTCTCAAAAAAAGAATAGTGTACTAAGAAAGCTTGTTCTCTACTGTTTAAAGATAAGTGAAGTGGTCCCAAAATTGGTAAGAATGATTTAATATCTTGCGGCGGCGGTGTTTTCATATATAGAGCTTTTCTAACGAACAATTGGCCCAGCCAATCGGCAATGAGTGGCGCAACACAGTCGTCCAAATGTTGTGTTTTATTATTGATAGATAAAATAAGTGTTATTGCCTTAATATAGTCTTCAACTGAGTGTAACATTTGTTCATTAAATCCAACTAACTTAAGACCTTCCATTAATCGTTCCTCCCTCTGTTTTTCTAGATCATCATTATAATTATGCACTATTAAAGCATCAATTCTATCTAGTTCATTAATTACTAAACGATTTTGTAAAACCCAAAGTAATTGTCGTTCTAAATATGGAATATTGAATATCCCAGTATAATTATTAGTAAGATACCAACAGATTCTTGGTGCTTCAATGTTTGCTGGATTATGGATAGATACGTTATTGTGTACAAGTAAAACAGACTGTGATTCTAAAACAAGTTTTGCTACGCATGTAGCGAAATGGTTTGCACTAGATGTTGAAGTGGTGTCTGGCCTTCTAATTCCATGAATTGCGTGATAATCGTCTATGTTGTAAATATGAAGTTGATTTTTCTAATTAAAAATAAAAATAAAAATAAATTTTATTTAAAAACGATATTAATATTTAATTACTTAAATTTAATTAATAAAATTTACATGATTTATAAAATGTTCTTCGATTTTTATTGCATATTGACTTTGAACTTTTTTTTGAAAACTTTCTACAGTATTAGCATACATGGAATATCCAAGTTTCGACATTGTATCAACTGCATTCCATGTTGCACCCAAAGCCATCAGATACAAGCCAACTTCTAACTTATGTTGATTGACAAATTTGTTTCATAAGCCCGCCATCATATAGCACAGACCAACGACAGACTTCTTTGCTTCATTTATACTATGGGCAGAACGTTCCTTAGGAATAACCAAATTTATCATATATTTAAAAAAGCCCTCAAGTTGAGGATCTGCACTTTCAATAATATTTTCAAATTTTATGGGATCCAACTCAAGATTTGCAGATTCTTGGTGTTGTCGACAGTATAATACTCTCGTTAATGCTTGAACTCTTGAAGCGAATGTTGTATCTAATATAAAATATTAATTAATGTATATTTATATTTTTTTTTAAAAAAAAAAAAACTTTTATGCTACCTGAACAATTATTATTTATCTCAGATTTGTTTTTTTTTTTTTTCCTGAATGCTCTTTTTTAAGGGTTTTTCTTCGTTGATTACTATCAGCTTCTATAATTCTACAATAATGAGGATGACATAGCTGCTTTCCTATTCAAGATATGGATACTTTTGCAGCATTTGGTTTTTGTTACATTTTTCAAATGCAAGCTCAGTAATTACACGGAATCTAACATTGGTATTTGTACAATCGATGACAAGACAAGGCCCAAAGTTTTGGGTTTTCATTTTATATAATTAATCAGAAATAAAATTGCAATATAATCTAAAAAAATTAAAGAATTAATAACATTGTCCAAGTATTGTCTAAGTACAACTCGTTATATTGATTATTTACCTTGGTACGTAAAACTTGGCACAGCGAAACTTGGTACAACACTTGGCATAGTGAAACTTGACACGGTGAAGCTTGACACGGCAAAAGTTGGCACAGTGAAACTTTAATAATGGCGAAACTTTTAATCAAGGCGAAACTTTAATCAAAGCGAAACTTGACGCAGCGGATTTGGCACAGAAAATCTTTAAGTATAGTGAAACTTGACTATGGCGGGATTATAGAGAAACTTTGCTCAGTAAAACTTGAACCTTAACTATACAAACTTTAAATAAAAGGTTTGATTATAGTAAAAAACTCTTACTATTATAAAGATTAACAACCCGGTCACCTATAAACACCTATAACCACCCACAACAGCATAGAGAGCTTTAATTCTGATTGGTCAATCATTAAATGTATCGTTACATATACACTGCATATATCATCTGACTTTAAATGAATTGTATGCCATGAAAACGAATTGTAGAACAAAACTAAATGCATATTCAGAAACTACACTTCTCACATTATATATGGTAAAAATAATTTGGAGAACAGAGAAGTAATTCGGAAGTTAGCTACGGGGTGTACCTTTATCTATAGGCTAAAGCAATTCAACAATTGGCGAGGTAAATTACACTTTGGCTAATAAGTGTTACTATTTTTTTTTTTTAACTTATTAATTTACAAACAACGATTCAAACAGTATTGCTAATAGTTGTTTTTTTTAAAAATATTTTTTATGAATATAGATTATTCAATCAAGTTTTAAGAGTTATAGCATATTAAATATAGAATAGTATAGAATATGTATGATTACGCGCAATAGTTCTGTAGTTAACTTGGAGTTTTTATATATACTGTTTATACTCTCTATGAGCATATATTCTACCTATTAATAATTGGTGGTTCTATAATTTATTATATTATTATTATTATTTGGTAAATTATTTAACTGTGTGTACTAGTTAGCAACGATTTAGTCAATAAAGGTTATCTACATATGTAATTGTATCAATAAATTATAAGCTTAAAGATATTTTTTTAAAATTAAGTTTAATCAGATAAACAATTGACAATGACTATTGGGATCCAAGCGTTAAATATTATCATTATGAATAAAAATTTATACAAAAATTAGCCAATCATAATGAAAACCCTCTATGCTGTTCGGGTTGAGGCTTTAACCCAAAAATTTTTAACCCGACCCGACCCGACCTGTTCGGAGCACTATTACAGATACTTGATTTATCCTTTACCTATAGTAAGATAATTTATATAAATAAGTTTTGTCTATTATCAATTAAAACCTCAAATGATGAAATAAACTGTTGAAAGGTGATAAAACTAATAAAAAGTAATGAAATTGATGAAAGGTGACAAACCTGACAAAGGTGTGAAACTGACAAAATTTGCGAAACTGACAAAGCTAGCAAAACTAAAGCATGTACTAGGTTTACACAATAATAAAACCGCAGCAAGCAGGGTTATAAAATTTATCATATGAGTAAAATTGTTTTATTTGGGTAATAAAATGAGGCTTATAGAACAGGATTCAAAAAACAAAAATCAACTATTTTTTTATCCTCATTGTATTAGAGCGTTCTCTAGCACCAACCTCGATGAATTCAATAAAAAATCTGATTGGCTAGTTTGATTAAACTGACCAATCAGATTCGCTATTGAGTCCATTGAGGTAGGTGCTTGAGATCACATGCTTAGCCACATTTTATGGTCACGAAATTGAAATTGAAGATCAACAAATCCTTTCGAAAGAATTTTGACGATCTAAAATTATCAATTAATCAACTCGACAAATAAAATCCGAAAAAAAAGAAAGAAAATTGCCATAAGTTAAAAAAATAATATAGAAATTCATGTTGAAATCCGCATAAATGTTAAAATTATTGCATGTTTTAGCTTAATTTATCATTATTATTTTGATAGTTTTTATTTTTTTGTTTTTTTTTCTCGCCATGATCATTGGGATATACTAAATAATCAATAAGGTAGCTGCGCGATGTCA